TATTAGGAGAAATAAAAGGGACAAACAGTTATAACTGTCTGTGGGTACGTTTTATTGTCTCAGAATTTTATAAAGTATGTTTAGGCAGTTGTTTTTAGCAGTTTTTCATTGTTTTTTGTACATTTTGAAAAGAATAGGAAAAGTGGAGAGTCTGGTTCTCTCGAATAACCAGAAATTGTATGTGTTGGGTTTCTCCACATTGGAGGAAACTTGGTATGTTGTTGGAATAAAGATCTGCAGTTTCTAAAACATCTCATTATAGTTCTGAAAACCTATCAACGTCTTAAACACATCAATAGCCAATATTCCAATCATTATTAAACTAAGCTACATTTCTTTCATGAAGAAAGGAAAAGACAACGGGAACTCCGTAACTGGCTCATTGGGTAAAATAATCCAACCCACTTATAAACTGATAGATAGGAACATGTATTTATATCTGAAAAGCTAAAGTAACTAAAAGTTAGTTAGGTCTAAGTAACAAACATATAACAAACTAAGCAACTAATATCTAATTGACTAACAGTTAGTTTGCACAGAAAAGAATATTCTAATTGTTCTACGGTTGTACAAGTAAGAAAGGATATAAGGAGTAAAACTGTACACCAATACCCACCCCCACGAAAGTGTTAGCAAAATGAGAAAGCTCATAGGGAGTGAGGAGCAAGCCCTGATTCCATCACTCTGAGCTTGAAACACAAAGCACGAAATCTAGTTGGAGAAAGAGCTTAGGTGAGAATGTTGGAACATTGATCCCTACATGAAGAAGTTGAACAACCATTTTCCAGGCAAAGAAAAGACCTAGCTCATATGCTTCGTTCTGGTATGAGGAATAGAATTATGTGCAAGAGCAACAATGCTATATTATCACAAAGCACAAGAGTGGTGTGAGAAACTTGAAGTTCTGATAATAATGTTTCCAAGCAACTAGCAGTAATATGAGCCAAGCTTCTACATTCTAGTGAAATACTAGATCTAGCAACAACCATTTACTTTTCGGACCACCAAGATAAGAAATCAGGTCCAAAATATTGAAGCATATCTCCTATCATCCGGATCTGATGCCCAATCTACAACACAACATGCATGGAGCAAGTTGAAAATGAAGACCGTAGTTAAGAGCTTCTTTAATATGTCTTAGATTCCCTTTTACAACAACCTAGTGTTGTATAGGTTATTGGGACACAAAGTGGCATACCTTGTTCGGAAAAACTCATTTTAAGACGAGTTATAGTAGCATTTCTATTGTGAATAGCAGCTTATTATTAGGACAAAAATATCTTCAATATCTCCATAGTGATTTGAAAAAGTTATTTCAGGATCTTCCTATTCATTTCAACAAATGTTTATTTCCTTACTTTAAAGAATATGATTATTACAATTAGAGATAAAATGTAATTAGTATGAATGTTATTAATAAACTAATTCTTTATTTGTTTACATAACTCCAGTAGGTACCAGAGCTCCAATCTTAGGAGCCTTGTTTCTGCTGACACATTCACAGTCACTACCAGTGTTGCTCACCATAACTGTTGAAATTAGTGATGGGCCAAAAAGTTATGCCCCACGCCAGTGATCACAATGCCGACAATTGCATCGTGATCAGAGTTGTCACACATCGTTACACACTACCACCAATATTGTTACGTACGTGAGTACGAAACCTAACCAGAACAACCTTTCACACACTCACAACACGAAACAGAACAATGAACGAATGAATTTTTTTTATTGATGGTAATATCTGAATAAACAAAAGTAAACAAAGATAACTGGGAGCATAACCTCCCTAGTCTGGGAGCATAACCTCCCTCACAAGACTGTAGCCGCCTGTCAACAAAACTCAATAATCAAAAGCATGTCCTAGACAATAACATCTAGCTTTATTTATATTAAATATTTTCCTAGAATATAATTCTATTTACTATAATTAACTTATACTGAATATTTTCCTAGGATATAATTCTATTTACTATAATTAACTTATACTGAATATTTCCTTAGGATATAATTCTATTTACTATAATTAACTTATACTGAATATTTCCCTAGGATATGGCCTTATTTACTATAATTATTTCCCACCCATCCTAATTGTTGTCCCAGTTAGGATAGTCACTCTTCAACCGATTGGCTCTAGCTCTTTGCCGCCTTCCGTTCGGCTTGCTTCCCCCAGTATCCTACTGTTCGGCTCCAACTCTTCACCACCTTCCACCGTTCGGCTTGCTTCCCCCTGCCTTCTACCGTTCGACTCTAGCTCTGCACCGCTTTCCATCGTTTGGCTCCCTGCCTCCTACCATTCGGCTCCCCTGCCTCCTACCGTTCGGCTCCCCTGCCTTCTATTCTATCACCCAGTATCCTATCATTACACCCCGCTGCAGAACAACCTTGTCCCCAGGGTTGGAACTGAGGAGCTTGATCTCATGGCTCTTGTTCAATTCAGGTCTGGAGGTTTGAGTGGTGGTAATTCCTCCTCGTCCTCCGCCAATATCACGACTTTCAAACTCCTGCCCGAGCAGTGGTGACTAGGACCGAACGGTTCCACACACCTGATACACCTTCATTCCTCTCTCCGTTTTAGGGCTTCTGAATAAGGCATATTCCTAGTGTTTCTCCCATTATTATCACTACCCTCCTTCAGTACTGACCCCACACTCTCGGCGACTCCCGATCGGCCTGGGTTATAGTGATTGGCTTTGGACTGCTCGGTGACTCCCGATCGGTTCTCCCTTGCAGCTTCCGCTCTGCTTTGGTTATGCCGACCGGTCTCTATCCTCGCTACTGTACCGCTCGGTTTCCCCCAGGACTGATTCTTGCTCATACCTCCGGCTCCAGTCTTTGCGCCACCATGAATCTCCTCCACGTCCCTTGCCATTCTCATGGCGGTCATCAGCTTCTGTGGATCAAGCAATCGTACACAGTTACGAATCCCCTCCTGTAACCCTGCCATGAAGTACCCCATAAACTATTCCTTGGGCACTCCCTTCGTCTGTCCCACCAAGACTTCAAAATCTTGGATGTACTCTTCCACGGATCCCGATTGCTTGCTAGCTGCCAGCCTTTCGAAGATTGACCCCTAGTTTCTTCCTCCAAACCGTATCACTATCGCCTCCTTCAGACCAGCCCATGAGCGGTCATTGGTCTGCTCCCTCCAAAATCTTAACCAGTATCCGACACTTCCCTCCATGCTGATGTAGGCTAGGTGCACCTTTTCTTCCTCGGACACTTCTTGCAATTCAAAAAATTTATCAGCCCTATTGATCCAATTTAACAGATCACTCCCCTCAAACGTGGGTAACTCTACCCCTTTCCTCCAATTTGGTTGCTCTTGCGCACCACTCTCTTTCTCGCCTTCATCTTCATCCCGTTGGTCCCTTCTTTTCCCGTTGACAGACCCCTGGCTTCCATACAAGTTACCATCTAGTGATCGGTCTCGGCCCCCATCATCCTCATCAGTTCTTGTAAATTTTTTTGCATTGTCGCCTCCAACGTCCCCATGGATAGCTCCACGTCCTCCAGCTTCAGCCCCATGCTCTGTAGTTGCCCTTCGACTGCATTCATTCTCCGTTCGACTGCATGCATTCTTCCCTCCATGACGTCGTTCACTCCTCTCAACCACATCCAGCAGGTCGGACCAATTGTTACGTATCTGAGTCGAAGACATAATTAATCACGATCACAATAGGTAGAAAAGACAATGAACGAATGAATCTCTTTTATTGATGGTAATATCTGAATAAACAAAAAGTAAACAAAGATAACTGAGAGCATAACCTCCCTAGTCTGGGAGGATAACCTCCCTCACAGCTGTCAACAAAACTCAATAATCAAAAGCACGCCATAAACAATAGCATCTAGCTTTATTTATATTAAATATTTTCCTAGAATATAATTCTATTTACTATAATTAACTTATACTGAATATTTCCCTAAGATATGGCCTTATTTACTATAATTATTTCCCGCCCATCCTAACTGTTGTCCTAGTTAGGATAGTCACTCTTCAACCGATCGACTCTAGCTCTTTACTGCCTTCCGCTTGGCTTGCTTCCCCTTGTATCCTACCGTTCAGCTCCAACTCTTCACCACCTTCCACCATTCGGCTTGCTTCCTCCTGCCTTCTACCGTTCGGCTTCAGCTCTGCACCGCCTTCCACCGTTCGGCTTGCTTCCATTTGCCTCCTACCGTTCAGCTCCCCTGCCTCTTATCGTTCATCTCCCCTGCCTTCTATCCTATCACCTAGTATCCTATCAAATATTGACAAATGTACACCATGCGCCTTGCTCTGGTGAAGCTGTTAAGAAGTTATAGGTATACGAGAGGAGGAATAAAAGAGGAGGGAATTAAAGGCGGGAAAAGAGGTTAGTTAGTTAGTAAAGAGAGAGTATAAATAAAAACAGAATAGGTTGAGGAGGGGATCATGTGATATTCCTTTGGGTTATAGACTGGACATCTTTTCCATTGGAGGAAGGTTGGCTTCCTTGGGGTGCATACTTGTATTTTTCTATACTTTACAGAATCAATAATACATATACATTTTACTTTCATTACTGTTGTTTGAGTGTTGAGGTGAGAAGAGAATGTAGATCAGGTTACTTGAACAAAGTAACCTAACAGAAGCCCACTAGCCTCCAAAGATAAATAGGGTCATCGAAACCTCCTGAGCACATTCTAAGTGGTGTGATGTCTCACTTGGCTGTAGATTCAACTCTTTTGTTCTTTTGTCAAACAGGTTCTCTTTGTTAAGTCTCTGTTTCATGATTTTTTTTTCAATTTCTTGTATGAAAGCCTATAAGGAGGAACTTGAGATATCCTCAGTAAGCATCTACACATTCATTCAAGCAGATTTTATTTGCTTTTTTAGAGAACATGCTTGTTACAAATAGAGGAGTTTCGAATGTAATTAGCATGATTGTAATTAATAAAATATTCCTTTATTCCCTCTCACCATTCAAGTTAAATATTATGTACAACATTTCAAGAAGAAACCATTTACTCACCCTCATGGGATCTTCTACATCAAGCATTCCATCATTGTTGATTAAGAATTCACCATACTCTCCAATGCACCACACTGCAACGCGAACAAGAGTTTCCTGATGAAAGATATTAAACAATGAAATTAAATCAATTGCAGTAAAAGAAAATCAAAAGCATAAACAGAGTTTGTGAAAGCAGAAAAGAGCACCTGTTCAGCTGACCTCTGAAATGCCTTGTATAATGCTCTTACTGTATATCCATGAAGTTCAGAAGCATTACTTATCACAACAATTAAGGCATGCCATACTTCATCTTTCACATAGTTCCCAGCCTACTAGTATAGCATAAAGATCACAATTTGCATTCGATGTGTAACTGAATAAAATGACTTAATAGGAACACTACAAGTATCAAAATAGAAATCACAACACAATACATCAAATTTATGTAGTTGTTCAAATACATGAAATCAGTAGTCCATAATTGTCCTTGTGCAAACATTAAATGTTAAAAAAACCATGTGACAAAATACATAACAAGCTGTCACAGCAATCATTTTCCCATTGATTGCAGCATGCTAATTAGCGATAAGAAAAAAACTGAACCATCCTAAAGAAAAAAAAAATACTAATTAATACCATAATAAACTAGAATAGATGAATTTTTTCCACAAGGAGATGTTAATTCACCGCAAAAGTTTGTTTCTTATATTCATACCTCAGACAGAACCTTGAGCATCTGATCAATGTACCAGATCTTCTCTGAGGAATACCTGAAGAACAAATAAGTACATACTAATAAACCAAATACTATTACAGATGTGGGGCAAATGACTCTAGTTAAAACTTCTAAACTGAGGAAGGCCAATATATATGATGCCTATGTGAAATCTGGCACATTGCTCTTTTTTAGAAAAAAGAAAGGAAAAGGATAAAACTGCACAAAAACTGCAAGGTCTGATGAGATGCTTAATACAGTTAGTGTTACCCAGAAAAAAAGTTTATGATGTTTCTAATAATAATCAATAATTAACAATGATAAAACCTGCTCCACAAAACAAACCATCTTAAAATAATGATATGTCATGAATGTGGCAAAAAATAATTTCATGACAACAAATAAATATTAAAACACCTAATTATAATACACAGGCAACTCTAGCTTGCTAACCCACAAAAAAGCACACAAAGAATACAAATGATAAAAATAATACAAGTTCACTCAAGAAGGAATACCATTGTGAACCTATATGACTCACTTTGAAACTATTGAACAAATTTTTTCAGTAAGGTCTACCCTGAAATCTGGATCACTGACTTCCAGATAGTCTACTAGCTCCTTTGTTAAGGCCTTCACATTAGTTTCATTCACCAGAATACAAACAAGTTCAAGGGCTCTTCTCCGAATTGAAACATCAGAATCCTAAACCAGAAAGTCAATTCACTACCATATCATATTGCAAAAGAAAGCTAAATTTCACCATTAAATAAGAAATAGGGTGAAAAATATGCTCAATTAATAAATACCTTTATACATTCCAGAATTGTTGCTCGATGCCTCTGCACTGCCTGAACATCCGCAGTGACAACCTTCATCAACATGTTTAATCCCACGTATCTGAAGGGATAAGTTTGAAGATTCTAATTCACTTCAATAATGAATACAACAAGAAAAAGCAAAAAATTACAAAGTTCTTAAAAGAATAATGGAGGGAATAAATATAAAGCCTAGAGAATCAATGAATACCATTAATACCATTAAGTTGGAAAATATGTATAGGTAATAATTAGATATATTCCCCATGATTAGTCATTATTAGGTTTCCTTATACTATACTTTAAATGATTATAATTAATGGATTTACTTTTGTAATTAAACACACAATTCACAACAGCAGAGAAATCCTTTATGGTATCATAGAGCTAGGTTTCCTTTTCCCTTCGCAACACTATTCACACGACCACTGTGAGCCTTTATTCAACCCTTTCAGCCCTCCTTTCTTCAACATGCACACACCACCAAAGTTGGTGTCCTCCTCAGATCAGTTCATGACATTATTTATTGATATTAGAGTTTGGGGAGGAGAGAGAGAGAGAGAGAAGAAAAGACAAATTTGTATTGATTATTTCTATCTAATGAAAAAACAAGGGTTCTCTTTATATAGAGAAAGAAAAGAAACAAAGTTTTAAAAAATAGTTGATAAAACTCCTATAACAAAAAATATATCAAACTTACTACAACACCAATAATTCCCCCCACAAACCCAAGGTGGGTGAAGATTAACAGGAAGGGCCACCACATTGAGTTTGCCCGTATAAACAGAAAAGGCATAGGAGAGAGGTTTGGAAAGAACCTCAGTGGGCTGAAATATATTGAACACGGACACTTGGAAAGAACATTTTCAAAAACAAAGATAAGATCAATTTCCATATGATTGGATCTGGCATGAAGAACAAATTTAAGAGTTGAAAATAAGACTGATTTATTATTCTCAATCATAAAAAATACATTCAAATACTCTCTATTTGTAATAATCTAATTCTCCTAAAAAGGGAAATAGGGAAACTAGGAAAGTAAAATAAAGGGAAATAGGGAAACTAGGAAAGTAAAATAAAATAAAAGATTATATATCTATTTCCTCTAATTAGGAAGATTCTAAAGATAGTATCTCAAATTACAACATTAAGAGCTCAAGCTCAAGCCACTTTGATTATCACAGTAGAGGGCAGGAGGACCATGTGATATGCCAAGTTCTTTAAGGAGAGTTTGAATCCATAGAATTTCAGTTATTGCTTTAACAAGCCTATGATACTCCACTTCTGTACTAGACCTTGCCCAACAGCTTGTTTCTTAAACCACCAAGAAATGAGATTTGATCCAAGAAAAATGAAAGCACAGATATGGACATGTGATCATCAGGATCAGTAGCCCAAACTGCATCCAAAAAGCTTGTAGGGGAAAACGAGAGGTAGAGGTCATAGGAGTAAGATGAAGAACATGTAAATTAGTCCCATTAAGATATTAAAGAATACATTTTAAAGAAATCTAGTGAGGTTCAAGAGGTTGAGTCATAAACTGAGACACTTTGTTCACACATAACTGATTGTAGGACAAGTTACAGTAGCACAATAAAGAGCACCTACAATAGGAAATTGCAACGAGAAGAAAATCATAACCTTCTTTAGAGAGTTTCCATTTAGACTTGAAAAGGGTTAATCTAAATGAGAGAAGGTTTTATTCAATTGATTAATTTAACACAATACATCAGCCTCTATATATAAAGAAATTTAACCCTAAAGTATTGATTTCTGAAAGAACTCTAGAATCTTCTAAGAACTTCTAACAGTACTCTCAATATTCTACCAGAACAAGTTGTTGCAGCTTGACGAGAGTAGGGCGACCCAACTAAGCATGGGTGAGAGAAGTGGAATCTACAACCGAGGTAGCATGAGAAGAGATTCAAAGATGGTAAAGGCCATGAAAGTCACATCTCGTGTCAATCAATCTGTTGAATATAGTGAAAAACTATATTTAGATTAATCTCCCTTGTGTAAAATACACACATAGGGTTCTCTATTTATAATAGAAGAAATATGGGCTAAGCCCAAAATACAAATGAGAAATAATAACAAACTAACTAAAAGATAAAAGATATAATATATCTAACACTCCCCCTCAAGCTGGAGCATACAAATTGTATGAACTAAGCTTGGAATAGATGAACTCAGTGTTGAACTAGATGATTTGTCTTCAGAGTGTGAGGCAAACACAGCAGCTTGTGAAACTTCAACTTCAAAAGTGGATGAAGGAGAGCAATGGTGGACAATGACAAACTGCAAGGACTGATTCCCAATCAATGATGGATGAGTGACGGGATCAACAGTGGTAGCTGAAAGCTAAGAGCTACAAAACTGCAGGGACTACACTAAATCCTCATCAATGATGGATGGGTGACGGGATCAACAGTGGTAGCTGAAATCTACAAAACTGCAGGGACTACACCCATATTTATGTGACTTGCAGTGTCTTGGAAACGTACTCCCCCTTAGTGTGAAGGTGGAAATCTGAAAGATCACAGTTGCTGAACCACTAAAACAAAACAAAATATTAAGCTACAATGCTGAAATAAAGGCATCAAAGATCCAAAGACATGTTGGAGGTCCAAAATTCTTTGCTGGACAACTCCCAAGTGGTGATACTTAGCAGTGTATCACAAGAAGATCGGGCTAAACTCTAGCATCGAACAACGGCAAACAGTGCTAACTCTAGCACCAAACAGCAGCAAACAGTGCTAACTCTAGCACTGAACAGCGGCAAACAGGGCCAAACATCGGGCTAACTCTAGCACCGAAAAGTGGCAAACAGGGCCGAACAGCGGCAAACTAAACGGCGCCGGACAGCGGAAACGGCACCTGGACAGCGATCAATAGTGGCTGGACAGTGGTCAAACGGCGCGGACAGTGGTCAAACGGCGCGGACAGCGGGAAACGGCGCCTGGACAGCGGGAAACGGCGCGTGGACAGCGACAAACGGCGCGGGGACAGCGACAAACGGCGCGGGGACAGCGGCGATGGTCTGGTTGGCGAGACCGACTCCGATCATAAGTTGGGCAGCCATGGAGAGGGAGAAACCCTAAAAATTCAAAGTACTCCGATTTATGCAACGACCACAGATCCAGAAAGAGGGCGAAGAGGCGATCACGGCAGTGCTGATCGGCAGCGGAAATCTCCGGCGACGCGCCGGCACGCGCGGCGGCAGCAGCGGCAGCGGTGACTCTTGCGGCGGCGCGTGGAGGCGCGTGAGAGGTCCGTTCGCCGCGATCTTCATACCACGGTGGTCGCCCGGTCGAGACGATTCCGATGGTGTGGTCGCCGGTCGATTCTGGAACTCCGGCGGCGGCGGCGGCGGTGGCCGGAGGCGGCGACGGACTGGCCGGAAAGAAGCGGCGGCGACGGTGGAGAGATCTGACTGCACGGTGCTGACTGTGGCACAGATTTAAGAGAAAAAGAAAGAGAGAAGGGTTGCCCACTGAAATTTTAGGGGCTGCCGGCGGCCATGGCGGCCAGCCGCCGGCAGACAGCAGAGACACCAGAAGAAGATCAGAGAACCTGCTCTGATACCATGTTGAATATAGTGAAAAACTATATTTAGATTAATCTCCCTTGTGTAAAATACACACATAGGGTTCTCTATTTATAATAGAAGAAATATGGGCTAAGCCCAAAATACAAATGAGAAATAATAACAAACTAACTAAAAGATAAAAGATATAATATATCTAACACAATCATTCATCCCAAACTTTGATCCATTAAAAAATAGAATCTTTATCAAAAGAGATGGCACAATCAAAGGAACTAGCGAGTGTCACAAGTCTAACTTGTCAATGGATGGGGGAACGTTGATGTAATTAGTAAAAAAATGGAAGAATTAAACCAAGAACCACTAGAAGAAGCCATTACGCATTGGTGAGAGAAAAATAACTTCATAGTTGGTGAGAAACCTCAATTGTCTTCGGTTAAGAATGAGACTTTAAGCCTAACTCGACCCCACAAAATCGGCTTGTAAGGTGAGGTATGCACCCACATATATACTCTAAATGTGAGACTAGACATTAATGGATGTCAGATAACAGCCCGACAACGGGTGGAATGATATGCCTAACAAACACAAATCTCACTAGGAGAGGCTTTAACCCATGGTTTTGATACTATTTTAAGAAGTAGACTTTAAGTCTACTTCAATTGGTGAGAAACCTCAATTGGCTTCTGTTAAGAAAGGGACTTTAAACCTAACTCAACCACACAAAATCGGCTTGTAAGGTGAGGTCTGCACCCACATATATACTCTAAATGTGAGACTAGACATTAATGGGTGTCCGATAGTAGCCTAATAGCGGGTGGAATGATAATGATATGCCTAACAAACACAAATCTCACTAGGATAGGCTTTAACACATGACTCTGATAGTGTGTTAAGAAGTAGACTTTATGTCTAACTCAACCCCACAAAAACCAGTTTGTAATGTGAGGTCTGCATTCACATATATACTCTAAATTAACCTTATATCTAGTCAACGTGGGACTTCCAACAACTTCCAATCATAGAAACAAGACCAAATTGCGAAAGAAGACAATAGACTAAGGCCAGCACCACTGATTGTGGCCCCAAAGGATGTCAGACATGACACCATGGGTAGTGGCTAGTGAACTATCTAGAAGGACACACTAACATGAATGAGGGAGCATCAATGCTTTATTGGATTGGTGATCAAATTTCAGAGGAGATCCCATCGATGGTATCATCGGGGCAGCGACAATGGCATAAGCACTAATAAAAGAGGCCAGAATCGGAATGAAACACAATTTGTGGAAAAATTTTACCGCAATGAACAGTGGGTCCACTAGGAAGGCACACGTCTAATTTAGGCTCTACTAGATAATGTGTTGAGATATATGATGAAGAGACAAAAATAATCTCTCTCTATATGTCTATCAGAGGATCATGTATATATATAAGTGTATCAAATACAAAGAAGATACAAGAGGCGGGCACATATATTAGTTACAATTAATAGCCTTAATTAAAATAAAAACATGATGTTGTACAATTATGATTAATTTATTTACAACTTTTACAGAAAAAGCTTACATAGAAACAAACCTGATATTGTTGTCTCGGTGCGACAAGAACTTTCCTAGAATATTGATGGCAAGAACCCGTAAGCCACCACTATCTTGAATGCTCATTATTGTTTGAACGCACTCATATAAGATGGCATTGCCAATGGTTTTATTTGACTCGATCTTAGTAGCCACCTAAAAGAAATATCAAGTTAAACAAATGACCATAAATTAAAAGAAAAAAAGACTTGGTTGGTTGTAATAAGCAATGGTGAATGTGATGAGGCGAAGTGTCATAAACAAAGTATTTGGCTTGAGTGACAGGAAAGGGGAGATTTGCTCCAATGTCAAAGCACAACCAAAATCCCATTTTTTGCTGTTAGTTCCCTCTTTCACTTCAATCTTATGCATTCCAAGCAAACATGCCTAACTCGTGCTTAGAAGCCATGGCAGAAATGGGAATAGGGATTGAATTCAGGTTTCGGGATTTCAAGTTATATGTTAAAGTAGTGAACACTAGGTAAAGGATTAATTCCTCTTATGTAGAAAATACACATAGGTTAATATATTTATAATGAACAATAATAAAAAAAATATGGGCTAAGCCCAAATATATAATATTGTAACTAACAATATCTAACATTCTGGATCAATTATAAGGGATTTATATGTTTATTGTTTGTATTATTATAGCATAGATTTCATGTTTATTGTTTGTATTATTCTAGCATGTTTAAACCAACAAAAAACAGTATTTTTAGAAAAATTGCACTCTAAATCATTTTGTTTCACAAAAACCACAACAAAAAAACACATAGGTTGCCACATCATAAACCTTTGTAATACAAAAAAACACATAGGGTGCCACATCATCAACCTTTGTAATGGAGTTAATAAATAGGGACAAAAACTACCATGTTAGTTATATGATTTGGTTGCATTAAATTGGGAAATATGATATGATTTGTTTATATTAGATAGGAAGATATTATATGGTTTGATTATACTAAATACGGAAATATTTATGAAAGTAATTCCCATTAATAGTTATTGAGTTTATTTTTGTCCCTTTTTCATTATTGCTAAAAAGTGGACTTTAAGTCTAACTCAACCTCACAAAATCATCTTGTAAGATTTGTTTTGAAGTCACTTATATATTGTGAATTAGCCTTATCTCTAGTTGATGTGAGACTTTCATCATACCCTGCTCATGACGAGGCATATACATCTCGTTAATGGGACTAGACATTAATGTGTGGTCTGATAGCTTGTGGAACAATAGACCCAACAAATAACAAATTTCACTAAGATAGGTTCTAACCCATGACTATGATACCATGTTAAAAAGTGAACTTTAAGTCTAACTCAACCTAACAAAACCAGCTTATAATGTGAGATTTGTGCTCAATTTTATATTGTGAATTGGCTTTATCTCTAGTCTACGTGTGACCTCCGACAATTATTAATAAGTGTAATTGTGTAGACAAGACAAACAACTACAACCAACCCCCTCCAACCAGATTTCAAAAATTTGGAGGACTAGAGTGCAAAAGAAAAATCGGAGGACTAAAAAATGTCATAGTTTAAGGGATTAATAGCATATTTAAGTCTATTTTCAATTACTTGATTCCTTAAAATATGCTTTTAGAACTTATTACATGGATCTAAACTAACTATATGGCCTACTGTTTTATAGCTTCCCTAAAATGTGCTTTTATATTGTTGAGGGAGAAATCATGGAATTATTATAAATAGCACATCAGTTTCTGTAGCTTTCTATTAATCAAGATTTTCCCTAGCCACATTTAATGTTAAGATTATTGAACTATTAAATAATTACATCTTAAAATATGATTAAAAAATCAACGCTTTTGAAAAGCCAAAACCAACTATTAAAGCATAAAACCATTTTAAAGGACAAAATTGGAAGTTCATTTACTTAAAAACCGCTTTTGGCTTATGACCAATCACATAAACTGATCTTAAAAAGTATAATCAGTTTTACAAAACCAAATGAAATTATGAGAAAATATGAGATGGTTTTGATATAAAATGCAATTGACACATATGGTTAAGGTTAGGTCATATGTTGTTAGTAGGATATTAAATGTTCTACTACAAGTTGTTAGATGCTACTAGATATGAGAATTAAGTATAAAACCAAACAATGCTAAAATAAGACTTTGATCCGTAGAAACACTAGGCATTCTGAATTTCTCTTGTTCCTTGTTCAATCTAGTTTTTTCAAACTTCACAAATATCTGGTTATTATCCAAATTATACTTTCCCTCTTTTTTCTCCAGTAAAATTTATGTTTCAATTTAAAAGGTAAAAGAAAAACAAGAAAAACAAAGTTTCCTGCAATCCTTTATTAACACACCTGCATTAGTTTGTCTTGCCACGTAAGGTAAAATAATTTGATTTTATTCAATTGAATAAAAGTCGAAAAAATATTCAAACGGCATATACAATTTTCAACAAGGTTATTAACAGAACAACATAGAAATGACCTTTTCAATCATTCTGCAGTAGAAAGACAATATAAAACCATAAAATCGACATTGAACACTGACCTGGGCAAGTATGTCATTCATAGAATCACTAGCATCCGAATCACCTTCACCCAATACACGCAACAGTCTAAGCAATCTGATATGCAGAAAAGGGTCCGTGAAACCAGCAACATCATACTCTGGTGAATAAGGATTATTTGCTAAATCCTTTAGAACTCTGACCAAACCATCCGTGCATTTCTACAACAAATTTTCAAATTGTATTTAAATACAAAATTTGACCTCGGCCAAATAAATTTGCAGAGAAGTGTACAAATAAAACACCCTAAGATGAAACATAATGTAAAGTTGTCCATATGAGTCTAGTTTGCATGGCTTTACATAAATAAATAATTCATAGAATTTGAGCTTAGGGCCTAACTCAACCGCAAAAAACTAACTTGTAAGATCAAGATTGTCTAAGCCTTACAAGCACAAACTTAGCCCACATCTACTTTTTTATTGGACTAGGCACATATTTATAGTCGATATGGAATCACAACTACCTAAATATAACTGACATCCTACTGGCACCATTATATAACAATTCACTCAGCTTTTCCTTTTGGTCAGCCCCACTGTATGTAGCCCCCTCTGGTAAGCAATTGGATTAGGTTGCACTTAAGAAAGATTAGACTGATGGCAATTTTTAAGGAATTTTTAAGACTTACATGGAGTAGATTAATTTTTAAGGGCCCATTTACATGCAAACAAATGAATCTTTAAAGGATCCATTTATAGACAAATTTTAAGTAGGGATTTAGCAGTCACTGCACTAATCTTTCCAGGATAAATTTGGGTATTCACTTTATTACAGACTAACTACAACGATTAAAAGTGAAAACAAAACATTTTCTCAAACTAAACAGACCTTAAAATTTTTGTAACAACTACCAATAAGTAAAATAAAAAATATATTGTGTTTAACTATCTGGGACCAACAAGATTGCAAATTAGTGTATCCATATAGATACTGCAGTACAGAATGATTTTGTTGTGATAAGTTATAGTGGATAAAATTACTACATTAGTAGGTGGATGAAAACACACTAGCTAAAGAGAAATAATTATAAGAAAGATTGAAAAGCACCTTTCTAACATGTTCAAGAGCTTCTGAACTAATTTTGCACAAATCTGTACAAAGCTGAACCCCAGTGATCAAAACTCCATGATGTTTCTCCCTTAGTAAGCCAGTAGCAGGACCAACAAAATTTTCGGCCAAGTCTGGAACTTTCTTTATGATTCTTGCAGAGCACAATGCTGCCTATATAACAATGAGTATACAGCTTATCAAACTGAACAATAAAAAGTTAAATGGAAAAGGTGTTGCCTATAACTCAAGAACTCCACATTAAATTACAACATAGGTAGCATTATTAAGTAAATGGGAGGCAGATTTCTACTTAGAATAACAATAGTAGTAGTAGTAGAAACATCCAAAAACACATTGAACAAAGTTTGCACTTGAATGGGGAAAACATTGATGTCCAAAACCAACTAAGATGCCATGATCTCATAAATCTGAAACTACCTTTGGTTTTATAAGATAAGACATAAATATATACCAACAACCAAGCTCTCAAAAGTTGTGGTCAGCTACATGAATTAATTGATGCTATTGTGCTCTACAAGAAAACTAAAATTTTGTGAAATCACTGAACAGGAATTTAGCAATGGTTTCTCTTAAAGTTTCTCAATGACTTCCACTGCCGCTTTAAATTGGACTATCTCCCACTTCTCTCATTAGAGCCTTTGTTGACTTTCTTCCCCAGGTATCACCAAACTTAGGTTATTTTATGTTCTCCTGTCCTCAGTAGATGGGTTGTGATACATTGAAAATTATCTTTGTAATGTCAGAAAGGTGTAGGACAGGGCACCATATATATATATATGGTAAGTGTTATCATTTAATACAACACTTTGAAAGAATATATTATACTCCATAGTCCTTAGTTAGTCATTCCAACATAAAACATCATAGTTGATGTACATTAAAAACTAGTCCCTAAAAATAAAATATATTTGAAATTTGTACTTATCAAACAAAATATTCCTTGGGTGCATTGCAATTTTTCCATTATTTAGGGATCCTCAAGCAGATTTACCCTTTGAAGCCCCAAATTTATAATTATTTTGTGCAAGGAAGGAGACAAGAACAAAAAACCATTCAAAGTAGATTCAAGGAAGGGAAAAAGGATTATACTCCAATCTGTGAGTCGTCATAAAATGACTAATGAAATTGTTAAATATATTATCTTTATCTTTTATCTTTAGTTAGTTTGTTATCATTTCTTATTTGTATTTGTATTTTGGACTTAACCCATATTTCTTCTATTATAAATAAAGGACCCTATGTGCATATTCAACATAAGGGAGATTAATCTCATACATAGTTTTCACTATATTCAACAGAAATGACAAAATAGTTCTAATGTTATATACACACATACATATATATAAACAATTCTTTAGTCCTTTTCTTGAATATAATTTAATATATTTATTTATGTTATGACATTGAAATAATAATTTAATATGTTCATTTATGTTTTATAGCATTGAAAATAAACTTTAATTTGTTGCTAAACTTTTTTAATTTTTGATAACTTATCATTATATACTCTACAATGTTAAGATCCTTTTTAAGGCCTATGGGAGGGATTACCCATGGTAGAGATTGAGGGAGTAATTACGAGGCAGGAATAAAGTTGTATCAGACGTTCATATATGTACCATCTATACAAACTAAAAAGAAATTTTTATTTGTTATGGCAATTGTATTTTTTTTTTTGACATATCCCTTAAATATGTGTCAATGTATGTCTTCTAGTTCTTTTCCTTTTGGGAATGATTGGGTACACTCAAGCGGTCCCTTCATCCTCTCTAAAGCCCATCCAGGAAATTTATGTGTGACACATAAAATTAAAAATCACACAAACATGGAGCCAAGTAATTTCAGTACGGTACAAGAACCACTAGTATGTATATCTAATCCCAAAAGTTAAAAAGAACAATATATTTCTTTTATATTACAATAATGAGGTCACGGGACCTATAAAAACATGAGCCAGTTGTTTATTTTAAGAAATATAGAGAGCTAATTCTAAATCCATGTAGTTATGGGATTGTTTTTAAATTCATAATCCTCAGCAAGATACACTTGTAATACAGATTAAAAGTCTAGCGAGGAAAAAATAAAAAACATTCTAAAATACATAATGAGTAGCATAGTTTTGACAATCCCCGCAAGTTGGTGAGTAAGTGTTCTTCATTCCCAGCTTGGATATAATATTTTCAAAGTTCATTCAGTTTAGTCCTTTGGTGAATATGTCTACAAGTTGATTTTGAGTGGACACATAGGGTGCCAATCAAGCCATTGTTTAGCTTTCCTTGATAAAATGTCTATCCACCTCAATACATTTAGTTCTATCATGTTGCACTCATTTATAAGTCATACTAATATCACAATATAACCTAAGTTCATCCCACTTCATCTTCAAGTTTTCCAATATAACCTTCAACCATATTCCTTGGGCCATTGCTCAAAATTCCACTTCAGTACTTGATTTGGTTACTAAATTATGTATTTTTGTTAGGTTCCTGGGTTGGAAAACTAACTATCAACGCTCACAGTAATCAAAAGAACAAAGAAAGAATGGATTTAAGTATTGATATTGAGAACAAAGTACACTGATAGCGCTAATGGAGGCCTAATCCCCCTCTTAACCCTAACGAAGGCCTAATCCCCCTCTTCTGGCCAATGTCCAGATTTACAAAATAATATTCAAAAAACTCCCCTCTAACCTGAAATAGAACTCTATTTATACAAAACCCCCATCCCGCCTTTTCTAACTGCTCTCACCTCCATCCTGCCTTTCCTAACTTCTCTCTCATTTCCCCTTCCTTCTCTCCTCTTACCTTAGATCCTATCATTACACCCTGCTGCAAAACAACCTTGTCCTCAAGGTTGGAACAATGAAGTTTGAGCCCATTGTGATATGGTCTTATCACAGGAAGGGAACCCGCTGGCTACTACATACAACTTCCGGTCTGGAGGCTTGGTGGTGGTAGTATTGAGAGATAAAAATTATGGGTCCATTTTCGTCTCTGCAATACTTCCTTGAAGACGAGGAGCTTCTTATCTTTCCCTGTAAAATAACTTCTTCTACCATTCGGCTCTCTTCTCGCTATCTTTATACCGTTTGGCTCTCTTCTCCCTTTCGTTATGTCGTTCGGCTCTCTTCTCCCTATCTTTATGTCGTTCGGCTCCTCCCCCTGCATTCAACTGTTCGGCTCGCGTTAACAACCCTGAACAGAGTTGCTGCAAGATCTTCCCAGTCTAGATTTACATCTCCTCTTCGTTCTGCTACCGTTCGTCCTTTAATTGCCAATAGTGTTCAGTCGTCGTAGTGTCTCACAACGGGCGTCGTCCCCCTTTTCATTGGTTCATTCTGACATTTGGGGACCAAGTCGTGTTAAGTCCATTTTAGGTTTTCAGTATTTTGTTACCTTTATTGATGACTATTCCAGATGTACTTGGTTGTTTTTAATGAAGAATCGTTCTGAGTTGTTTTCTATTTTACAATCTTTTTTCAATGAAATAAAAACACAGTTTGGGGTTTCTATTCGAAATTTACGTGGTGATAATGGCCGTGAATACCTTTCTCAATCGTTTAAACAGTTTATGGCTTCTCATGGAATTCTTCACCAAACCTCATGTGCTTATACCCCTCAACAAAATGGGGTGGCTGAGCGCAAGAATAGACACCTTATTGAAACAACTCGTACACTTCTGATTCATGGTCAAGTACCCTCACGTTTTTGGGGGGATGGAGTTCTCACAGCATGTTATCTTATCAACCGCATGCCATCTTCCGTCCTAGATAACAAAATCCCTCATTCTATCTTATTTGCTCAAGACCCTCTGCATCCATTACCTCTTCGAGTTTTTTGGGTCTACATGTTATGTGATAATCAAGCTGCTCTCCATATTAGCTCTAACCCTGTCTTCCATGAGAGAACCAAACACATTGAAGTTGATTGTCATTTCATTCGAGAAAAAATCATATCCGGAGATATCAAGACTGAGTTTGTTAACTCAAGCAACCAGTTGGCAGACATATTCACTAAGTCCTTACGAGGACCTAGAATTGATTATCTTTGTAACAAGCTTGGAACATATGATTTATATGCTCCAGCTTGAGGGGGAGTGTTAGATGTTAAGATGTGTGTTTCTGTTATTTGGGCTTAGTCTATTATGTATTAAGGGCATTGGCCCATATCTTACAATATAAATAAACTACCCTATGTGTATGCTAAACACACAAGGGATATTTTCTCCCAATCTTCTCTATTTCTCATAAATACTAAACAATTTTAAGAGCAGCTTGTAAATGAGCCTCCTCTGGTTGGTGCATAAATTGGCTTACTAGACTCACATCAAAACCAATGTCTAGCCTAGAGTAAGATAAGTAAATAAGTTTGCCAACAGGTCTTTCATACATTTCACTGTCCACTGCAATATCCTCCTATGCACTACTCAACTTCATTTTTGGATCAATTGAAGTACTAGTTAGTTTGTAGGTTGTCTTCCTTGTTTCTTTAAGCAAATCAACAACATACTTTTGATGACATATGAAGTTTCCTTTTTTGGAATGAATCACTTCAAATGCCAAAAAATATTTAAGTCTTCCGAATTTCTTAATCTCAAATTTTGTGGCAAGACATTTGTTGCTCCCTTTTGTCACCCTTAATTATTGTAATATCATCAACATACACTAACAATATTTGTTACTCCCCCTAAACTGAATGTTTGATGAATAGACTATGATTCCCTTGACTTTGTTTATAACTCAAATTTATCATAACCTTGGTGAATCTACCAAACCATGCTCCAAGGAATTGATTCAGCCCATAGAAAGCCTTTGTTTAACTAGCAAATAGTTCATTAGCTACCTATCCTTCATAGCCTGAGGGTAGCTCCATGTATATTTCTTTATCAAGTTCTCCATGTAGCAATGCATTCTTCTCATCAAATTGATGCAAATCCTAGTCATGATATGTTGCTAATGAACATATTACTTTGATTGTGATCATCTTAGCAACTAGGGCAAATGTCTCCAAGTTATCCACTCCATAGGTTTGACTGAATCCTTTGGGAACTAACCTTGCCTTATAACATTCAATAGTCATTAGTCACATATTCACTGTTTAAACCCACTTACACCTCACTGGTTTTCCACAAAAATATTTCTATGGAGAGGT